GGTCTGATGTTGTTCTGATGTTCTTCCCTCTGTACATAAGGAATCTCTTCCCCCTAACTGCCCTTAAGATGGTTTCCTTGGTTCTAAGATTTGCAAGTTTTACTATTACATACGGGGGTGCTTGCCTGTTTTCCTTGATCTTGGGAGGGGTCCTCTCTGCTTCTAGGACATGAATGTTTTGTTTCATTCCCCAGATTAAGGAAGTTCTCAGCTATGATTTGCTCAAATATGTCTTCTAGTCCTCTCGCTCTCTCCACTTCCTCTGGGATTCCAATAATTCTGACACTGAAACGCTTCATGTTGTCACTTATTTCTCTGATTCTATTTTCATGGATTCTGAGTTGTTTTTCCCTGGCCTTCTCTTTTCCCTTTTTATCTATTAAATTGTCTTCCAGATCACTAATTTGTTCTTCTGCCTCACTTACCTTAGCTGTTAGATTATCTAGATTGGATTGAATCTCATTGATAGCATTTTTAAGTTGTGCCAATTCAGCTTTCATTTCTGCCCTTAGAGACTCTGTGTTGCCATTAATTGATTTCTCCATTCTAGCCATTGTCTTCACAATTGCTAGCCTGAATTCCATCTCCGACATCTTGGTTATATCTCCATCCGTTTGTAAATATGCAGCATAAGTCATAATCTCTGAGTTTTTTCTATTTTCGGGGTTCCTCCTCCTAGTCATTCTGTTGATGGGTGTTTGAGGGAATGTATAGAGTCCAAATTATTGACCAGAACCCAAGCAAGATGCACATGTTTTCTTGGGACCTTAGGGTTGTTGGCCTCTTGTTCTCCCAGCCTGTCTTCTGGGCGAGGGGCCTGCCGTGCTGTTACTCACCAACCCTGTTTGGGTAGAGTTGCCCTGCCCCCTGTGGTGGGGGATAGGCTCAGTGGGAACCAGTGTTTTGGGGCTTTTGTTCTCTGGCGGCTTTCCCTGCGGATTTCTGCATCTATTCCGAGAGTCAGAGCAGAAGAGACCATTTCCAACTCTTTGCCTCAGAGCAGAGAGATTGCAGTCTGTTCTTCAGTGAGCTCTCCAGGCCACACTATCTCCATTTCTGTCTGTGCTGCTATAAACTGCTGTGTCCTGGGTTATGCACTCCTCCTCAGTTCTCCCTGTCCTGCCTCCTGGTTGGGGCTCGTCTCTGCCCTTTGTGCTTCTAAAACCACCAGCCACTCCCAGTTCACACGCATGACCCCACCATTCTGGGTTTCCATCTGGGGGGTTGCCCTAAAATCCTTTCCCCTCCACTACTGGTCTGCAATCTGTGCCCCGTCCCCAGCGCAGGAGGCTATCGCTCACCAGTGGTGTAGGATCCCAATGGCCAGGCTCCCTCCCACTGCCATTTATCCTCTGATATCTGCGCACAGAATCACTGCTCCCTGGTTCATACCTCGAAACCAACCGCTGTGATATTCTGTTTGTAGAGATCCAGATCTTCTTACATCTCAGGCTGATTTTGTGGGTGCTCAGAGTGGTCTGGTAGATATCCAGCTCAATTCCAGGGACCAGTTGGAACAGGATCCTGCTCTTCTGCCATCTTTTACCCCAAGGGGTTCTGGTCTTATATCCCAGAGGTCAGATTATAGGGCTGCTTC